AACGCACCGATTGTTATCCTCATCAAGATACCAGCCTGAAAGACCGCTGAGTGTCGCCACCGCCCTCAACGAGTGCCACACCCCCCCCCTGCCCCTCCCTGCCCCCCACGGTCCCACGACTGCCCCCCCATATCACCTCGCCATCAAGGAAGCTACAACGCTCAGTGCAAATGCTACGGGCCCCGCACTTTCAATGCTTTCAAGCTGTCAATTCCGGTTCAGTGATTCTGCACTTGCTCTATTACTATAGTACTATACTGCCTTCAACTTTTACGAACGACTGGTTGTTTAAGGTTAGCGATTTGTCGTATTATCTGGCTGTATAGCAAATGAAAAATTACAATTACTTTACTAGGCAAGTAAAACATATATATGTTTTAATATTATTCTTTTTTTTATTTAGGGCCCCTTTTTAACATATGCTACAGGCCCCGCACGAGCTTAATCCGTCACTGATTACGCTACTCATTTCTTTAGAACTGCTTATTTTTGTCTGTGTTTACTTCGTGGTCCTCACCCCCCCCACCCCCCTCACACCGTCCCGCACCTCGGATATTAGCACGGTTGGCTACGTACGGCGCGAAAGAAGTTGTAACTATTCGCACGGCGGCAGCGGTGGTGGTGGTGCACCGAGTGAATCGTCAGCTGTTGGTTAGACTCCCACCAACTCTTCTCCACGACTCAAATGCCAACGCCGTCATCCACCAGACAGCCAGGCAACGTGAAACGGACACATTGCACATATTCATCCACATTTTCGCTGCTTAACCGCTAATTAAGTCACACACACACACCACACGCCGTGTTATTTCAGCCGTGCAGGCTCTCAGATCTTCGGATAAATGTTCCAGCGATAGTCTGTTACATACATACAGACGTTCCCACTCCTATAAAGGTGCATCATTGCAATTGCTCGTTGACGCAACTGCTGGCGGAAGGGAGATGCCCCCTACATTGGAGGGAGCGTTACAAAGCCACCTCTATAAGCGGAGATAAAAAAAAATGTTGCCGACTGGCGCAGACGTCTTGGTAGAGGTGGAAGGTAACTCACACTTTAAGGAACTTGCACCACCACCACGTGTCAAATGCTGCGACGGGAGGTCGTATTGAACCCGGGGGGGGGGGGGTAGCCTGCCTTGGCTTGCAAAGTCCAGTTACCTTGTGGTAGCCGTTTTCTTTTCTCCCGAGTTTTCCACCGAACTTGGACAGGAGGGCTGAATTGCAGGCGTGCGAGGCTGCAATGTACCTGCCAACTGACCTTTACGACTTCATATGCCCCGACATCCAATACCCCGTGACAAGGGTGCTTGTACTATTATTCTCCCTGCTCTTATGTGAAGTCGAGTCCCTTAATTACCAGCGTTCCCCATACGGATCCGCGAGCATATAAATGATCCACCTTAACTTGAAAGCCAACGCCGCGAGTGACCTTCATAATCTGCGTTAATAATTGAAGCCTATTGTGCTATTTCTGTGGAGCTTTGCTATTCAGGCTTATCCGCTGTGTTTACCCTGTATCGCGGTGATAAGGTCGATATAAATAATATAACAAATGACCCCACATTTTTTTACTTCTCTCGTTCGCCACAGCGCCGACTTTCACGAACGCTTTCGCGATTTTTTTTCTAGTTTGTTGTAAAAATCGCGCTTTGTACAAGTGGTCACATTCGGAGTGGTGTTTAATACGGACAGGAAATGCAGCAGGTTTAACCAAAAAAAATCCCATTGCGCCTTGCCACAATTCAGGATTACTCACACAGTTAATGCCATTTAAGGGTACAATGTGCCCATTGTTATTATTGTTGCGCAGACGATCGCGTTTCCCTTTTATCGTCGTGGTGGAAAACCGACACATTCGTCGTTACCGTCTTCTCCGGACGATCTGAAAAGAAAGACGCGCCGCTAAAACGTCGGTGTATCAATACGCACGCACGCCGACCGAATGTAATATTTACACGGGGGAAATTGTTGCTTGGAATCCAGAGAATACGTTAGCATATAACAAATACTGTACATGCAATAGGCTAACGTTCCGGGCAGTGGACCTACATTAGAGCCATTTCCGAAACGTTAGTGGCTTTGGAATACTTTTAAAAATATATAATAATATTTTTCAGTCGTTTTGCCAATCCTCTGCTGAATGAAAACCGCTTCACGTCGTGTCGGCGTTGGGGGGTTGATTTGACCATACTTCACCACGCTGGTCGGTGCTGGTTGATGTGGGAGGCGGGGGTGCTTGGACCAGTTTAAACATCCACAGCCCACGTGTGTTCATCCTCTTCCTTCGTACGGCTCGATGTAGGTGCAGAGCACCAACGCCAATTTCACGTTCAGGAGCAGCGGAGTGGTCTCGCCGTGACGTCTCCTACGTATCTGTGAATCCGGGGACATTGCGTCGTTTTGCGTTGTACGGTCTGGTGCGGATGACCACAGTCGCACACTGGATAGTTTTACATTTTCCAGTTGTGCATCACATTTTCCATTTGTGCATCTGCCACGGTTTGTGCGGATGCGGTTTTGGGGGGAGCATGATCAAAGCCATGTTGGGTCGTGTTCTGCGTTGGGTTATGTTAGTCACGGTCAGAAATATACGTCAGATCGCCTAGGTTCACACCCCAACTTCGTAATAAAGTAGTGTTATTGTTAATTACTAGTTTAATAAAGACTCGTCGTCGTGTTCAGGAACGGTCCTACGTCGCAGGACGGTGAGAGATAGAAATGACTGATCAGCAGTGGACTGATCATGGCTGCCGAGGACGATGATGAATGACTCATGATGTCGGGGTAGAATGTTGTTGGTGTTGTGCGTGCGTGTGTGTGAAACAGCTCGTCGTCAGAACAAGCAACAGCTGTTCCACAGCAAGTAATTATTCGCAGTGGCTTCTGATATGTGGGCCCTATGTGTCGCTGTCTTCACGTCTTCGTCTCTAACAAGAAATCTATTCATTGGGAGCTCCGCTTTCCCTGCTTGCGCTGCTGCTGCCGCTGAGTGTTGGGCGGCTCGGGACCGGCAGCAGCCAGTCCGCACTTCACATCGGACTGAAGCCATCAACGCCAGTCCCCCTGTTTAGTTTCATTTTATTTTCATTCCCTGCACACTACGATCGTGTAACCGCATCGATGTTGTTGAGCGTTGGCGCGCAATGGCTGAGCGCACTGCGCTCGATGTACCTGGCCGACGAATGCGATTCTCGGCCACACGGCTAACGTCAGTGACGGTGAGGAGGAGTTGTTGTTACATGAACCGGCTCCGCCTCCACCCCGACTCCCACGCCACCAACAGTGCACCGGCTAGCGTGGTGAGTACAGACTGCGTGGGGGTCATACAGCAGTGGATTGGGAGAGAGCTGTAGAACACACTTTTTTTGGAATTTGGACTCTTGATATTTGGAGAGTGGTTTTCAACGTTGTTTAGCATCCCCTAATCATGACTAATTGACCGCCACTCCCCGCACCCCTCTCTCCCCCGACAGCCCCGATAACACAACAGAGATTACTCAGGCCCACAGTTACACAGAGACGTCGCTTCTCGTTTGTAGGCAATTGAAAACATGTTTTGCGTGTTCGCGTGTTTTGTCATCGCAAAAGTGGGCGATGACATTTGCCGCAGACGTTCGGATGTTTGTTTTTTCTTCCCTGCACGGTGTCCATGCCGCAGCCTGACCCCCAAATGCTTCCTTGCCCGCCTCATGGGTTGCGCGCCCCACGTGCCAGAGGTCGCAAACGGGTTTTGATTCCTTACCCGTACCCGGCCGCACCAGGGTCGCAAACGGGTACCCGTACCCGGCCGTACCCGTACCCTACCCGTACCCGGCCGGGTACGGGTATCGGGTACCTGATTGCGACCTCTGGGATGAAGCCATGTTGCAGGCGCGGGTGGGTTGACTCTAGGAACTTGAATTGTGAGAAGAGACAAGACGTTGGGAAATGAGTGACAAACGGTTACTCACCAGTGACTCACGGTCTACCCGTACCGGTACCCGGCCGCACCGGGTACGGGTAGCCGGGTATCGGGTAGGCTACGGGTATCGGGTACCCGGTTGCGACCTCTGTCACGTGCTGAGGAACTGCAGCGCTAGCATCTGGCGTAGCCCACTTCGCGAAACGCAACCATAAAATGTTATTCGTAAAAAAAAACCCTGTTCCTGCCACCATTCATGCTGATAACCCCGTCGTCGCATATTGATTTTACCTGATAATGTAACGGCGTGCGTACCCTGTACCCATTTCTCCATGCCGCATTCTGCATTGCACGCTGTCGCGTAAACAGAATACACGTGGAACCCTTACTCATTCCACTGCTTTAAACCACCACGCAGATGTACTCAATATTACTTCTTGGTATTCACTGACTCGCCTATTACTGTATACTGTATATAGAACCCGCTTTTGAACAAAAAATGTCCCCTGTATATGACACTTCTTTTGCCAACGCAGTTGACACGTTCCAATCGTGTGTGAAGTACAGCAGTAGTTCATCACGCCCGACTGCTGATGAGTACAAACATATCTAAACCGATACAGAGATTGGTTTCCAATCCATGTCAAAAAAAAATAATTCAGTGGCAAAACCTTGGTTTGAAAAAGTTACAGTATCCATCCAATACGCATGTTTCTTTCTTCCTTGATAACTCGTTGTGTTTGAATCCGAAAAGGCGTGTGTGTACCTATCAGGTGTGGGATACCACATTGATTCCAAATAGGGCACGGTATTTTTTGTTTCCCACAATTGCTCACGAAATCGGTGCCGTCGCAGGTCCAAAAATCATTAAGGAGATTACATCGAAGCAAACAAACCGGTAAGATTACCTTACTCCAATCCGCACGTGGACGAGACTGCATTGTGTTGTTGCTGCGCGCACTTGAACGCACGCTGCGCCCTCAACAACGGGGCGTGGGCGACTTGAGCGCTCTCTCTGTCCTTGCTACCGTCATCATCATCATCGCTATCATCACCAGCAGCAGCAGCAAGAGCATCATCATCGTCAATAGCATCGGATCTCGTCGCCCATTCTCCAGGAGCGCTGAGCCTGGAGGATAAATACGGCTGCGTGCGCTGAGAGCCTGCGCATTCATTCCGTCTCAGCCATACCTCCCACATCTCACCCACCCACCCACTCACCCACCCCGCTCTGTCCAGCTCTGTCTGCTACTACTACACTAGACGCACGGGCAGATACTTTGTAGAGCACGGCGGCTTACGTCAGTGTTGCAGCGCTCACTCTGCAAGCAGACGACTGCAACCTGTTGTGTACTATTACACTACTCTATCCACTATTGTTACCGGTTACTGTTCATTGTATTAGTAGGCTTACCGCGCAGGTGTTTTGTTTGTCAATCTTACCCGCGGCGTGTCAACGCAGAGAGCTCCAATAGCGGACAGAGATGTATTTCCCCGTGCTTACCGTTTGCGTGTTGGTCATCTTTGTGATTTCCAGGGTAAATCGTGCCAGTGCGTCCGGAGATGGTAAGTCTGTGTGTGTGTGTGTTCGTGTGGAAACGCGTTACATATTACTGCACTGCTGCAATACCGCAAGGGATGTTCGTTCGGGTTATTCATGTGACGTGAGCGTCTCTTAAAGAGGAAACTCCAATGGGGAATATATATTTTAATAACTATGGGCTTGTATTTTACTGCACCGTATTTCAAATCAATGCGAATGAGTGATGGCTGTAAGTGTGCCATCATCTGTTGGCAATGTTCTCTTTACGGTTGCCGTCAGATCTATTTATTTAAGATAATTACTCACCATGGCATTTTCGTGGATGAAAAGGCAAACTTGTGGGTACTGTTTTTTCATACAGTAGCTAAATTTACACTGTGAGAACTTACGGTAGGCGTGTGTTATTCCTTGTTATGATTTAAACATGTTCGTTGTGAAAGCTGCATGTGAATTGCTTTGATTTGGAACATTAAAAGCGGCATGTAAGTAGACCGGGCATAAAAAAAACTGTTACATCGGATGTGTTTTAATGTTGAATGCAATTAGTGTCGCATTGGCACGATGTCACGTGGTACCAGCTATTTAAACATAAGCTTCATTTAAAATACTGCTTTGCATCAATGTCAAATGATCAACTCGCTTTAAAGAGGTCAGAAAGCCTATTAGCATCAAACACCTCTGAAAGTTAATTGCATGGTTTAAATACAGTTCAGAGCATAACACTGCAGACGTGGGGTTGTTAAAGGTACACTCAGACAGCTTGCATTGGAAATGCTCCTTAAATTTTAACGTAATTTTACTGTGGTGGAATTCATTCTGCCATTGTTGTATTACCACGTATTAAATCATTCCCTCGTTATATGAATTGCCAATTTCTAAAACCATGCAAAGTATGTTGTCTTCTTAAAGTCGAAGACACCACAAATATCCATCAACTAAATTTCCAATTTACTTGGTTCGACCTTGACGGCCTCTTGCATTGAGATGTACAAACGTGGGCGACGAGTCGAGCTTTCCAAATCGAGCGTGGCTTTATTTGTCCACCTGTGTAGCTTGCCAAAACTTTTATTTTATCTTTCCCGGATGTGCTGCAAAAAAAAATCTGTCCAACACACAGAGGGAGCTGCAACCTGGCATTTCTCTGCACGCATTCTATTTATCTTTGGCGACCCTCGGCAAGCATTGCTTCCTCTTCTTGGTTCTTTCGGTAAAGTCACGTAGAAGGGAAGTAATTTTTATTGAGAATTATTTTATTATGTTTTATTTTTTATTATTATTTTATTATTTTCCTTCTACGTGACTTTACCGAAAGAACTAAGAAGATGAATCCCTGCAGTCACGAAAGCTTTAAATCGAAATCATTGCTTCCTTTGCTCTTTGCTGGTTTTTCCGCAAAAAAAAAACCACAGGACGGACAATAATTTGACCTCGCTTGACACGTTAGTTAACGTTTATTTAATGTATCTAGGAATAATCTTTCTGGATGGGGTAGTTATCGGAGATTGGCGAACTCCTTTAATTGACGAAATTAAGTGGGGGTGCGATGGCGCTTTCACGTGATTGGGCCCTCACGACCGTGTCACCACTGGCGGAACCAGTGGGGGGGGTGGCACGTGCCCCCCCCCCCCCAATGATCCGATCGAAATCCCTAATTTCGATCATTGGGGTTTATTAGTAATAAATAAGCATTTTGCGATCCCCACTGCCACTGTGTAGCATATTATTACGTGCCAGTGACTCTATGAGATGATAGGACAATAGTCTGTGTCCATAATTGGCAATGAGTAACGGCAAAGCAGTGATAAGTGACTCAGAATTGTGCGCAGTTGCGTATAGAGTACACGACTTCCCTGAAGGCATTCACCTTCAGCGAGCGCGATGCCGATCACACAACGCGGTTCGAATTCGACCCTCGATCGATGGCTGCACCATCGCCGCACACGCGTCGAATAAAAAGCAAGCGACAAGTCCTGACTTACTAACAACGCCTCTATCGTGTTTCATTGCTGGAGGGGTTGCCCCCCACTACCTGAAAATCCTGGCTCCGCCATTGGTATCACGTTATTGTTTCCACGAAGAGAGTGATTGCAAATGAAGCATTCGTGTCAATTGATTTGACGTGGCTTATAGGTACTTCACGTCGTGTCCGCCGGTCATGTCTGTTGCTTCGGTGAAGAATGATTGTGTGTTTTGAGTGAGAGTAAATGCATATATAAGATACACATGTAATCCATAATTAATGAGCTGTTTGCTGCACAGTAGGATTTAAACACACACACTTGCCTGGGTTCCTTGAGAACAGCATGCTGGAAAGTAATTTATACTGGCTTGTGGTTATGTAGCTCGTTTTTTTGTATTTGTCTTGTGGTTATGCAGCTGTAATACTTCACCTGCACTAATGATGTTGGCGGCATTTTGTGACAATTGTGCCAAATGAAAATATTTTTTTTGGCACTAGATTGACAAGCCCCTCGAGCTCGATCATGGTTTTATTTCATATGACACGGACGCATAGTAATGTCTGAGTGACTCGTGTACAATATAAAGACGTTCTCAAAGGGACCTTGGGCAAAAGAAGAAAAAAAATCTGATTTTTTTTTTTATAATTTGGGCCCATAAAATGTGTGCCTCGAAAGCTGAGTCGCTTCATGCATAGTGTGTGGTCAACCTCGGCTTCACAAAATTCATCAAAGCCTCGAGCCTAACACAGAAATATGTGATCACCATCATTAAACCAACCAAGTAATTTGCTTCTCGTGGCTTGCGACACTTAAGCTGTGACAATTTGGGCAAAGCCCCACTTTTGCTTACGAGTGTTGTGTGTGTGTGCTGCATAGTGCACCGCTTTTGCTGACTCCAGCCTTGGAGAGATAAATAACGAGAGCTTAAAGCAGCCAACTTAACTTCGCTGGTTATATATGTAAATTACCTTTTACTCTTCTTGGTTCTTTCGGTAAAGTCGCGTAGAAGGAAAATAATAAAATAATAAAAATAAAACATAATAAAATTATTCTCACGACGTTTCGGCCACAACGCAAACAGCCGTCTTCAGGTGGAGAACAGGTCCACCTGAAGACGGCTGCTTGCGTTGTGGCTGAAACGTCGTGAGAATTATTTTATTATGTTTTATTTTTATTATTTTCCTTCTACGCGACTTTACCGAAAGAACCAAGAAGATGAATCCCTGCAGTCACGAAAGCTTTAAATCGATATTTACCTTTTACTGTAGATAAAACTACAAAACCCAAAAATATATAATTGTCCATTGAGAAATATTTCCGTCCGATGCTGGTGAGCAATCATCATGTAGTTTGTTTGTGTTTTATTCCACAGCACATTGGTGTTATGACTCTCAGGATTCGGAATGTGGTAAGTCACACCATGCTGTCTGTCTAATTTCGCTTGTGATAAATGACATTTTTCCCTACCAATGTCACATCTTTTGTGCGTAGAAAAATTGTATTGTGATGTAACTCTTAAGCAATAAAACCTTTTTAATGTAAGAAAATGGAAATTACATCTAACATTGCCGTTTGGAGCTCTGAGCAGCAAGCGGTTTTCATTAAAAGACAATTTCATGTGAAGTAAATGAGATTTTAATTAGTGTTTCATACGAAAAAATTGTAAGGAGTCCATGATTATTTAATTGCAAAGAAAAGCAGGTTACAAACCACATTTGTTACGGTGTGCCTGTGTCCATCTACATTTAATGCTCAATTTACTGGGTGTTTGCTGCATTGTTTTTATGCACTGGTAACATGGATATGCAAATTTGCATTTAGTTTAGAATCAGGAACAATAAACATTGTATGTATATCAGAGTTAATGCATATTCTAATGTATCATTTTAGCCAAAAACATTACAACTTCGTAAACGTTTCATAATTACTAATTTGACACTCGTAAAAGTATTTAGTTTTGTAGTACATAGACATTTGCCATAATTAATATATTACGACCGTTTAACACGCAAAGCACATGTTCAAACTTATTTTTTGTACATAACTCCATTTAGTTGTAATGTTCAGCACTGGTGTTCATTTTAACATTGGTGGTAATCAGCATGAATTAATTAAACAACCCGTTTTTTTTATTGGTGCTCCACACATCCGACTATAGAGGCATAGCTAATTTTATTTGAACAACGGAAACACCATAGGCGGTATATTCGGTGGACAACGTTGTTTTTTTTATTCTATGCCATCTGCCTTTTGTGAAGGTCCAAGCAAGTGGTATAAAAACAGCCCCACGTGCGGCGGTACCAGTCAGTCTCCCATCGACATCCACACGAATAGTGTGAAACGCAACACGACGCTCCAGAAGCTCAAATTCATTGGCTACGACTCGACACCTGCTGGTGTCACGTGGTCCATACAAAACAATGGTCACACCGGTAAGGAGTTCATTTGTGTTAATTGAAAGTCTCAACTGTTCGTGATTTTTTTTTGTTTGTTATTTAAACGTGTAAAAAAAAAATGTCAAAATCCTCATCAACAGCTATGATTTATCCACTGCTGGATGAAGGCCTCCCACAAGCCGTCGCCACGTCTCGCGATAGAATAAATCCATCGGGCACCTGTTGAGACGTTTTCTTTGCTCCATCTCGGCAGTGGACGTCCTCTCGAACACACTCCCTCCTTTGGCTGCCCAACTTCATAATTAACCTTCATCACTGTCACGTTCTACCCGAGCCTACTGACCTTTTAGCCAGCGTGATGTCTCATATCCACGTGTTCCTCCTTTTCGCTCCTCGGTGCAATCCCAAGCATGCGCGTCTCCACGCTAGCGAATTCGAGAGAGAGTAAAAATTAACCCGTAAAAACAAAGTTTTTCATTATAAATCCTTTATATGCGTGTTCAATGGGCCACAACCCAGCCCACATTGGTCTTTGAAACGGGCGGCTAGAGTCCTCTCGTCCTCTGGCTTGAGATGGCTGCCACCTATGGGTCAGATGATTGTTTGCCACCATTAAGCAATTGGTAATTAAATATTTAAAAAAATTCCTAAAAGGTGTAAAATTTAGGAATTTTTTTTCACGAAAATACATTGTCACGCACAACGAGACTGTTTGCGAAATGTCAGCTCGATTGGATCACGGGAAGTGGGTTAAAAAACGACCGAAAGATTTGCACGGTCGTAAGCAAGCAAGTGAACTTAATATAAAGGATTTAAAAAATTAACCCGTAAAAACAAAGTTTTTCACTATAAATCCTTTATATGCGTGGCGGCTAGAGTCCTCTCGTCCTCTGGCTTGAGATGGCTGCCACCTATGGGTCAGATGATTGTCTGCCAGCATTAAGCAATTGGTAATTAAATATTTAAAACATTTTCCCTAAACAGTGTAAAATTTTGGAAAAAATTTTTCACGAAAATTAATTGTCACGCACGAGTCTGTGTGGAAAATGTCAGCTCGATTGGATCACAGGAAGTGGGTTAAAAAACGACCGAAATATTTGCACGGTCGTATGCAAGCACGCAAGCAAGCACGCAAGCAAGCAAGTGAACTTAATATAAAGGATAAAAAAAACAAATAACGCAAAAAACAAACGGTTGTTTGAAGTGCAAATACAAAGCCCATGCCGCCGTGCGACGCGTCTGTGCCCACAGTGCAGGTTGACTTGCAAGGGGAAATGGCCGTGAGTGGCGGTGGATTGCCAGGCACCTTCAATGCTGTCCAGATGCACTTTCACTGGGGGAACCCACACGGACCGGGATCCGAGCACACCATCAATGGCAAGCAATTCCCCGTTGAAGTGAGCGGCTTTCGCACCGCATGCAATTACCAGTTTTGCACCAATTACAATCGCAAGGGTTGTATGGGAATCTGTGGCTGGCTTTATAGATGTGCGCGCGTGCGTGCGTGTATCGCCAATGCATTCATATCGTGGGGTGAGAGATGCCGGTTAAGAATGAGTGGTGCTGTTTATTAGGGAGGTGTAATGATGCATCGATTCATCAATTTCATGTCCATTCCTAAACTCACTCATGACCAGCACATTCGATTCGCTCGTGTAAAAACTATGGGTTTTTTTATTCCTACGTGTTCTACGTATTGGGATCACTTGACCGCTGCCGACACCAGTGTCTGCTGTACCTGCTGAGCGACGCAAGTGACCATTTGATCTCGATACCGGCGTATGTTTTGCGTCGTAGGTTGTGTCAAATATATCGATAAATCACAGGCCCCTCCTCCGAACCCGATAGACCTTCAGCCAGGTTGTAGGCAGAGGACCCAGTAGGCAAGCGAGGCAAGGGCACAGGGTCGGATCCTTCACAGTTTTTAAGTAAACGAAATGCCTCGTCGAATTGTCTGACACTTGAAATGGGCTAAATCTTTTAAATGTTAGGTACACCACCTAACCCATTCAATAACAAGGTGTCTGTGGATGTGTAGCATCAAGCGACTCAGCCCATCGGCATTTACGATGTCGAGATAACCTAAGCTAACTGTGAGATATATCGGTCCGGGCATCGGCTGAGTGGGTGGGCGAAGTCGGGGTCATTTGAACGTCAAGGCGCCCTTGACACCATTGAAGATTACCTCCGCCATCGTCAGCCAGCTCCAGGAGGTTACCACGGTCTCCACCACATTGCATATGAATTAAAAACAATCAAGCAATGAATTTCGATTTAAAGCTTTCGTGACTGCAGGGATTTATCTTCTTGGTTCTTACGGTAAAGTCACGTAGACGGAAAATAATAAAATAATAAAAATAAAACATAATAAAATAATTCTCACGACGTTTCGGCCACAACGCAAGCAGCCGTCCTAAGGTGAAGACCAGGTCTGTCGGGGAGACAGCGTCTGAATTAATTCCCCCGACAGACCTGGTCTTCACCTGAGGACGGCTGCTTGCGTTGTGGCCGAAACGTCGTGATAATTATTTTATTATGTTTTATTTTTATTATTTTATTATTTTCCTTCTACGTGACTTTACCGAAAAAACCTAAAAGAAAAACAATCAAGCAATGATGTCACGATCCTGAATCGCGACAAATCAATAAATCTCAGCGTGGGTGAAGCCTTACACCCCCTACTGCTTGCGTACAAAAAGTTGGTGCAATCCTCGCCTCATTGTTTCCATAAAATGTGTCGTGCTTGCTTGTATTGATTCATAATTGTGAGGGGAAAACATGCAAACAACTTCCTTCCACAACTTTACCAAGTATTGCCCAACGAATTGTTTGATTGCCTGCATAGTGGTTTGCAAAACAATAGCATTGCTTCTATTGTTTTTCTGAGGGGAAGAAATTAAACCATGACGTCTAGCGTATACATTAACTTGTATTTTTTTAAGCAAAGGAATAGTTGAGCAGTTTTCTTGACGTTGCTTTTTATGTTTGTATATCTTGGTTATTTTGAGGCTAACAGTCTTTCATTTCTCTTTTCTCCTCCTTTTTGTAGCTTCATATTGTTCACTATAACGCCAAGTACTTGACCTTTGACGGAGCAAAGAATGAAAAGGATGGATTGGCCGTTCTTGGCTTCCTATATGCAGTAAGTTGATTTTATATGTGCACCCATCATTGTTGGGCTGTTTGCGTGCACAGTTGGCATGCGTGTTCTTTTCTCGTGTCCTCCTTGAGGACGACCGTTCTCGGCCTCGAGGTCGGCTCGAGGACATTTTCCCAGGGGTCGTCCTTGACCTTGACATTGGGGGGGGGGGGGGGTGGCCTCAGGGGGTGGTGGCCGGGATCCGAGAACTCCAAGAGGAATATAAAATCCACGTGGTCACGTGAATTTTTCTCCGGGTCCTCCGTTTTTTTTTCTTCTTCTACATTTTAGAAACATTTAGTTTTTAGCGTATTTGCTTGCTATAAATGTGTACGTGATAAGCCGCTTTATTGTTTGTGGCCAGGTCGCTTCTGAAACAGAGCTAGATAGCTCTGGGTCTTACCTGGTAAATTGTAATTAGTTTAATAGTTTAACTGATCTTGGCTGGACTTAACACTGGTCTCCTTGCCTTGAATTCAAGACTGTTTATTTTTCATTTTTCCACCTGTTCATTAAAAAAAATAGTTTTCAGTCGTTATATGATGCATTAGTATTCCATAAGTGAAGCCCATTGTATGTTTATTTTACTTTGAATATCAATATTATATAACCACGAGCTTTTTTTGCCCGTCCAAGGACTGGTGTATATTGCAGTAAATCTGAAATATTCAATAGAAAAATTGTTCAGCTCATGATTATTAATGAGGGGGGGGAGGTTGCCCCATGTGGAGTGACGTCACTCACTAATGGTTATTGGGGAGGGGTGCGGCATGTGGAGTGACGTCACCCGCTTATGATTATTAAATGAGGGGAGGTGTGCAGCATGTGGAGTGCGCGACCTTCTTGTGCGTTACTGTAAATTGCCACGTGGGCATGCATATCAATGAAGCGGGGGGGGGGCTCTATGCAGTGACGTCACGCACGGATGTAGCACTGTGCTGCGTAGATTTATTTTTTAGCGTCACTTTCTGCAAAGAAACGTCATTTGAAGCGACTTTGCGTAATAAGTAATTAAATTCAGATCGACCTTCCTCTGCGTTAGTGTAAAAATCCACCCGCTCATGAATATTAATGAGGTGGGGTGGGCCTCATGCGGAGTGACGTCACGCGCGGGACGGACAGACATTTTTGGGTGATTATAGTAGGTAATGCAAACGATTCTGGCCATGAATAGTGCATGTGGACACTTTTTTGAAAAACTTGTGGCTCTAAACATTATTGCGTACATGCTAATACAGGTTGTCCTCGCCGTGCACATTTCTAGAGTTGGCAAGAGAGTGACATGCACAAAAGACGTGGTTGACATCATTGAAAACAACTTAAAAGAGCAGCATATATGTGATGTTTTTTTCAGTGCTTTCATCTTAAAACTCTCTTTCTTCTTTATTAAAGGTCGGACCAACAAACAACAATTATAACACCATCATCAATGCGCTACCCAGTGTGGCAAACCAAGGTATGTCGTTGACAGAGATGTCCGCTCCAGAATATATTATAGTACTCATAATATGTAATGATGAGGGGTGGGGAGGCGTAGGTCAAATTAAGGAGAATTGGGACACTGAATCGTGCACCTAAATTAAATTATCAGCAGGGTCAACATAAATGGTGAGTGATAGCTCAACATCAGTGGTGAGTGATGACTCAACATCAGTGGTGGGGCTCCCCCTTCACGACCTGGTGAAGCCTTCATCTGGCAGTGGATAGATAATGGCTGTTCACGACACGAACTGTATATGAATGTACGTTGTATGTGGAAATAGTTTTATTAGTACCGTGTATGTATAAATAATAATGTTACTGGTTAATCACAAATAATCCCCGAAGTATTTTAATGTTTCACTGTCGGCAGGGTTGGCTGTTAATGTGTTCTCCTTTGCGTTTATGCCTTTTTCATTTCTGCAGGCCAGAAGCTCAATTTTTCGTCCACGTTTAATTTGGACAATTTGCTTCCATCGTACGTTAACATGAGTAAGTATTACCGGTATTCTGGATCGCTCACCACTCCTGGCTGCGGGGAAGTGGTTACTTGGACAGTATTCGAAGAGCCCATTATCATGGATGAAAATCAGGTTTGAAAATGCCTTTTTTTTTACCTCCTTATTATTTAGATTTGTATACGAACAATTACGTGGGGTGGAGAGGGGTAGGAAGTGGACTGCTGATCTGCATTCGATTCCTGGCTGTGGGTGAAGTCGGTGGCGAGTGATATTTGAACCAGTCCTGGATCTCGACCAACTTGCACTGACAAAAGTGGTGACGTATAATGAAATAACCACCTTGACTGCCCATGGTGCAGGGAGCACTTCATCCAGCAGTGGACTGTCAGAGGGCTCTACATTTTTAATACATTTACATAATCTATATATACATATACTGGTAGAAATAATACTTCTCCCGTGAACTGCATTGCTGACAATGATGACATGCCTCTCTAAAATCATGATGTGCACACAGACACGTGACAATTTTCCCCCCCCACCACCCCACAGAGTTGCAACGCCATTTTGGAGTTGCAACGTGATTTTAAGAATCTATTCGTTTATCATTGATACCATCCCGATTTATATTGTTTAAGATTTTATTCCTCTCATTTCTGTGACTGTGTCCATGCCATTATCCATTTTACATCAGCATATAATTTGCATAACTTCGAACATTTTCTGTAATGGATTCTCACATGCACAACTCAATGGGTGTCATTCGTGTAAAAATACATTTGTATCTAATAAGCGCTGAATCGTTACTGCTAAGTATGTGTTCCAGACATGTGATCATTCATGTATGTTTTTTGTTCATACGCGACTGTTTTGTGCTTCGCTTCATACAGATTAAGAAGTTCTCCACTGTGTTTTTCTCCACGAAAGAAGACCCACAGCAGACACTCATGGTGAATAATTTTCGCCCGGCGCAAAAACTCAACTCGAGGATCGTGTACGCATCTGAGACGGCCACCGTTGGTTCTGCTGTGCCTCTCGTTGTCAACAAGTTGACCCACGCCGCTGGCCTTTTCCTTCTTGCTATTGTTTTGTATTGAGACGGACCAACGTTTTAATGTTCGATGACCACTTTTTACACCAACTGAGCAGTTTCTAAATATTTCATTGGCACACACCCACACTTCATTAAGTTTTATGTCCGATTTATTTTACCTTGAAAATACTTGATCTTAGTGGAATTATTACTTTAATACACCACACATCACTTCCGTATGCAAATACGCTAAATATGCCACGTCTCTAAACAGGGCGATTAGATTGTTTTGAGAACGGTGATGTCAAACAATGTCACCAGCCTAATATCGGGATGCTTGGAAAAGTCCACGGTATTATCATATTTTATACTGCATGTTCTATATTGATATTTGGGGTAAATATGTTAGCAAAAAGACGGGTGGTTTTTTTTCATTGGAGCACACTTTTGTTGGGAACCGTCTGAAATATCTTACCTGTTATATCACAACAATTAAATATAATTATAGGTATACTTATTTCCACACGTGTGTATTTATTTAATGTAATGTAGTACTTGTATCGTGAGGACTGTTTGATTTTTAGCAAATGATGGGACAATCTAGAGAAGGTGATGATAGTTGTATTGATTGCTAGAGACTGACAATTGAAATGAGTGGGGGGGAAACATTTTTGTAATCCTTTGCTGTGAACCAAAATTTACTTTTTCGGTGCTGATTAAAATTAACACGCATCAGATTGTGTTTATTGGAAACAATCTGCTTTTTTTTTTGTTTTAACCAGTCTTAAAATTTATTATTAATAAACGTGCTGTTTAAATCATGAAAAATCGTATTTAAGTTTTAAAGCGGTGACGAATAAAGTACAAATAAAAATTATGAGAGAAAAAACCCAATAAAAATACAGTAGATTAGTAATATTAACAACTTGTGATAATAAAGGGAAGGCTTTCTCATTGATCTGTGGAATTGTTTGGGACTTGTTGAATATGAATGATACTTAATGCACGGTTGAAAGGGTGGATCAGGCTCCATCAGAAGAAGCGGCGTGATTTGTCTTTGCTGAAGTGCGGCTTGCAGCTGTCATCTATCGGTCAGAGAAGATCGAGGCGACTGTCACTTTGGTTAAAATTCAATTCTTTTGAGCCCAAATAAAGTTTCGGGATGAATGGAGGACACCTTTCTATACAGCAAATGTGTGTCGTCCTTTTATTTTCCTGTACATTATTGGGGCTGTATGTGCTTTAGAGTGAATTCAATTACATTGCTGAAGAAATCATTTTAGACGAGTAACGTGTGTTAGTTTATTTTTAAAGGGTTTAAACAAGTCTTACGCAATTTTGAGTTTTGCTTCGCTTCAGTTTTGTTTTACAACATAATTACCACATCTACAAGGGCAATAAGTTGGATTTAAAGATTTTAAAATATTTATAAAACGTTCCGCAAACAGATGAGGCTTATTTGTAATCCAATGGGCGATGGTGGTGGTGTGGGCCCGTAATCCAGCACTGTGGAAGCAGCGACGGCGTGGGCGGGGGGTTGGCAAATTACACAAACATTGCAAAACGCCTTTCTTGTGGGCATCAAGGTGCCATACCCTGGCTCGCCATGATAAGGCAATAGAGAAAACGAACTAATGTCCATCTGTTTCCATCTAATAGGGGTTTCCCCCTTTTTTCTGGCAACAAAACTGATACCTTTTGCAAGGAATCATGCTTACATTAACCACAATACTTGCAGTCAAATGCAAACACAAAACAGTATTGTGGTTAATGTAAGCATGATTCCTTGCAAAAGCTATCAGTTTTGTTGCCAGAAAAAAGGGGAAACCCCCTATTAGTAAATTTTGGTACTGGCAAAGGAGGTCCCATGATGCATGTTTTTTTTTTTTTATTCCGGGTGGTGCCGTCTTCTTCCACGTATAAACACACATACTTTGGCTCAAAACGTATTTAAATAGAAACCTAATGCAAGAACCTCAGGAAAAAGACTCCGAAGCCTGAGTGCGGCTTTCCTGGATAAATAAGTAATGATAATGTTTTATTTAAAATGACAAGTGCATTTGTATGGTCTGCTATAGTAAGAAAGGGCTTGATGAGCTAAATGTTGCTAATAACGCGTCACTGAATTCAAACTGGCCCAGGGATTGTTTTTTGTAAACAAACTTTACTGGGAAAGTGAATTTGGATGGCCCTTAAACTGATGGATAATACCCCATGAGTGAATTGGCAAGCCCCTTACACAGTTATTTTTCTGAATTTTTTTACGGTGAAATTATTCTTTGTTTTTACTCAATCTTAGGGCAGGTATTGTTGATCTACATTAAAATAATTGAAAAACTAGAAAGTTTTGATTTGTATTCGTATCGAATGGCCTGAAACCTCAATTCGATAATAGTGGTTTAGACAAAGACGTTGTTTTGGCAAGTTGAGATATATGAGCAAATGTAATGAAAGTGGTAAAAATATAGTGGCTTATATGCTTGCTTTATATTGGGGTTTAGTTTGACTTTAAATATCCAATTACAGTGATAATATTTCCTAACATTACACTTTATTTAAAAAAAAAAGTTCGTGCAATTGATGTTGGTCGTGTGCATTTCACTGTGTTCTGCATTCTCAAAAAAGTACATTGTTTGATGAGGATGTGGCTATGTGACTCAGAGGGCAGATGCCCGAGCCAGCACCACTGAGATCCTGGCTTCCAACCCAGGCACTCGCCTCTGAATAAAACAGGCACTCAAGTGGAGCGAGTTGATTTTCTCAGCCCAGTCATCAACGACTGCAATATATATAGACTGTATCCGTCACATTAACATCACACGCAAAAAAAATCACTTAGCTAAATTCCAGCTGTGAGATTAAAATATTGGCTTGAATGTTACGCAACACATTTCAGTAGCTAATGAAACGCCCTTCCTTTTCATACACTCTTCACGGATAAGGACAGCGAAGTCACCCTATTACCCGTGAGTAATTCATGGGTATTGACCATATATTGTCCCCAGTATGCGCTTCGTGACAATTAATTATGGCTGATGATGACTCCTATTTACAAAGTGATCAAACTCAGTGTAAGGTTTTAAAATTAATGTATGAAACAAAATAAAGAAATACATTTTACTTGAGAAATGACGTGCAATGTGTTCACATTTTATGCTACACTTTGTAGCACAGAGTATCATATGTGGCTGTTGAAGAATGATTTGAAGGTTTGATAGATGTGTTGCATTTGTTTTCCAATCTGCATGGCAATGGGTCTGCCGAGAGCCAGTTTTACATTAGATGTAATTAGTTTATTACACAATTTCATGTGTAATAATGCAATGAAATGTATTGTAATTTAAAATGGCAAAAAGGTCTAATAACCCTCCTTTGTGTAACCGTTAAACATTTAAATGGCTCCCGATGCTGAAAAATTTTCAGACTAGGACATAGACTGAACATAATAAGCATGGCAACTTAAACTGATTTTTGTTGACTTCATTCAACATTTTTTACATCCACATGTTTGGGCCCGATGTGCAGTTGCAATTTAACTGCTGTCTAAATATATACCATCTCAACGCATTTCTCACTTTTATATTTTATGCAAACGGTGTTTCTCATGCATTTTGTCATTTTCAACAATGTTCATGTTCACGTTACGGTGCAGCCTTGCAAGAGCTTGCTCACGCTACTGCTGGCAGAAAGGCCTCCATCAGAGCGAGTTCTAGAGAGCACATTGAGAGTGTATTTTGCCTAATCTTCCACACTATTGTATATATAACACATAGGTTTTCGCGACCAAAATTATTCATAATAAACGTTTTGGGTTTAGATCGCGTTATTTATAAATGTGTCGTAACCCTCCACCACCCGACACGGCCAATCAGTAAAAAAGTGTCACGTTGACAAAAGACAAATAGTTCACTGCTTTAGCCCACCGGTGTGGCGAATTGCCCGATGATGCTGGATGCAATTACCAGCGAAACGTCGTACTCAAATTGTAAATGTTGTGGTTTCACGCTTCAACACACCGGTGGGCTAAAGCAGTGAACTATTTGTCGTTTGTCAACGTGACACTTTTTTACTGATTGGCCGTGTCGGGTGGTGGAGGGTTACGATACATTTATAAATAACGCGATTTAAACCCACGTTGATTATGAATACTATTGTATATATGTTTCAATAGCTACTTCTGGGTGAGTATTCGTTTTAATTGGGTTATTTCGAACAATTTAGTGTGAACGAGGTTCAAATGAAAGCAAATAATCTGCAACTCTTGGGCCCTCAGCACATGATGCACACTTAATAGATATATTACGTATGTTTGTTAACAATACTTTTTTTTTATTAATAACTGGTTTATGAATGTATGTATTCATTTATAAAATTACAAACATCATGAACCTATGAGCACTATGACTATGGTGGGTCAGTGGCGAAGTTGTGGGGTGGAGTGGATGTATAGTACAGGCTCGACTCCTGGTCCTGGTTCCCCACAATGCAATTCACCATTCCTCAATGGTCATCGTGGTGAGTCAAACAACGCTAATAACCAATGGCATGGGTAAGCCTTCATAGAGCGTATGATTGACAATTGGCTGTATATTATTACAGTAAATCCCTAAAAAAACCCACGGAAATGTGGGGTAGCGTGTCTTGTGAGTCTGTAATTTGTGGTACACGGTGATGTTACTCCAGAAATCTGTGCCGAAAATGTGCCAATTTTCGTGGATTTTGGGAGTTTTTACCCTCCGTGGCGCCAATCACTCCCGATCAAACGTGGATTATAGAATATTCGCCACCCACGGATTATGAGTGTTGCCGTGCACGAATGGCAGAGATGCCGAAGATTCAGGATTGATGGATGATTGGAGGACAGATTTTAGGAGTTCTATTGTATTATAATAATCATAATTTTAAATAATTTAAACATGTAATCTGCACAATATTCGCTCATTCTCGTACAGACGAAAGGACTCAGAGGTGTGAGGAACAACAGACGGGTGGGAACGGCTGCACATTTATCTTGTTTCCCTGCAGTTAAAATGTGATAATTATTCAGTACAATCTCCACCGTAAAATATGACAATTATGTGGATCTCTTTCCAAGGAGTCCACCTTGTCCACCAAACGTACAGCTTTCCAGAAAAACATCCACAATTAGCACGGTTGGCTATGCACGGTGCGAAAGAAGTTCAACATATGATAATTGTTTTTTTACCCTTCTATCTGGCAACAAAACTGACACCTTTTTTACAAGGAGTCATGTTTACATAGACCACAATACCTGCAGCCATAATGCAAACAAAAAACATAACTCTGATAATGTGCACTGTCCTTGAAGTTGATTGGTCCACACCCGAGACAGCTTTCCTTAGAGCCTAGTCTCAGATGGGTTGGACCAGATGACGCCAAAAGGCGCACAACTCAAAGACAATGCACCATCAGAGTATGAGAGCTCGGGGTAAGCATTTACACCATTGGAACCTCATTTGCCAGTAAAAATATGATAATAGTTTTTTTACCCTTCTATCTGGCAACAAAACTGACACCTTTTTTACAAGGAGTCATGTTTACATAGACCACAATACCTGCAGTCATAATGCAAACAAAAAACATAACTTTGATAATGTGCACTGGCCTTTTGGCGTCATCTGCTCCAACCCATGTGAGACTAGGCTCTAAGGAAAGCTGTCTCGGGTGTGGACCAATCAACTTCAAGGACAGTGCACATTATCAGAGTTATGTTTTTTGTTAGCATTATGACTGCAGGTATTGTGGTCTATGTAATCATGACTCCTTGTAAAAAAGGTGTCAGTTTTGTTGCCAGATAGAAGGGTAAAAAACCAATGATCATAATTTTTTACTGGCAAATGAGGTTCCAAAGTTCAACATACATACATGCGTACAATGCAACCTACAGATTTTTGCACAAATACTCAACAGCTACGCCATGTCGACAGCCAAGCAAGCGTGAATACATAACCAGTTTGGTGTTTTTTGGCTCTTCATTGTTCTTGGTGCTGCAGCTGCAATTATTTCACTTCTTGTGCATAACAATGAGTGTCAAGTCATGAATGCAGCAATAATATTTTAAAACAAAACTATGCAGTCTCCGTTTTCCAATTAGAGTGCTTACTGTGACTGCAATAACATTGTAAAAGCCAGTGTTAATTGTTGTTAAATTGTACCGTGGGTACT